TGCCATGGCAGGAGGTCAGACTCGATGATCTGCTCAGGTCCCTTCCAACCCTACAAACTATGAAATCTGTTAATTCTAGCATGCAACCAGTTCCACTGAAGTTATTCATACAGAGTAACGTTAAAATAAATGCTTAAGCGTAGGCAGGGTCAAGGCATAAATTATTAGGATACTCAAATTAAAGTATAAAATAGCCTAGGGGTCACACCACAGTTCATCACTTTTTAAAAAGTGAAATGCAGTTGAATTATAAAGGAGAAATAAAATTTTGCACACTGCTGACCTGTGTGAAGGTAGTAAATATTTTGCATTTTTTCATTTTGTAAAATATGTGAGCTTGGGCCATATGTGAACTGTGCTACAGGTACTGCTCTGAAAAATATTAAGTGATTCATTAACAGGAATCACTTGATGGAGTAACTGCAAGGGAAATAAATTTCTTACCCTTTTTAGTCATGAGGTCTATTATAGATATCTAACAACCACAAAAGAAACATATATGCAAAATTGACATGAGTGTATCTGCTCTCCTATTACCTTCAAGTCAGGTTGCAAAGCTCCCCTATTTTCTAAGGCATTTTGGAATGATAAAGATATGAAATTAAAAAGATAATGGCAAGCATTGTGAATATTTTAATTTTAAACAGTTCAGCAGATTATGGCCTAGATCCTGTTCTGCCTCTAAGAACAGGTTCTTATGAGTTTTTTTACATTTCTAAGTCACAAAATATAAGTTTTTTTCACTTTGTGCAATAGGCACAAAACACTAAGGTGCCTAGATTTCTTGCATGTCTCCATTTTCCGGTTTGGAAAGATTCCGAGGCAACCAGATTTGGAACATTGTGCAAGGTAAAACTATTTAGAACAGCCTCCTAGATGTTTAACTCCATCTAAGTCATGTGTGATCAATTTCTGTCTGAGAAGCAAATAAACTCTGTGCAAGGCCCCCAATTCATGAGGCAGGCCAAAACCAAACTAAAGAGACTGAATGTCACTGAGAAGATGATGGCAGAGAAGGACCCATTCACAATAATCTAGTGGTTAGAGCACTTGCTCAGGAAGCAGATCTAGGGTCTAGGCACTCTTCAGCCAGAGGAGATTTGGATTTACATCTCCCACTCCCCATGAAAATGCCCAGAGCACCACGTGTGGATCAGATCCTATATCCCTCCAGCTGAAGATGAGCTACTGGGTGCAAAGGCAGGCAAGAGTCATGGAGCCAGGAGGAAGGCAAGCAAGAAAGAACCTGACTGTCACCTAGAAGAGTGAGCATTCTCCTGGTATCTTGGCCACTAATGTCAAAGCTGTTTAGGCATTGTACCTGATGGCTATATAAAGTAAACTGTATGAAGAACTGTCAAAGGGTACCTAGGCAACCAGTCTCAGAAACCAAAAATGACTAGACATCATGCTAGCCACCTCATTTCCTTGTGTGCCTTTAACGCCAGAAACTGGCATTTTATTAAGGTAGTCATTGAATGCCTAGGTGCTATACAAATATGCCATAAAAGACAGCCTCTGTCACAAGCATGCAAATATGGAGAAAATCACTATTTGCGTAAAGGTTTGATTTAACCATGCTTTCTTTCTTCAGATGAGACACTCTGGAATTTTAAAGGTTTGTTTCAGCTTTTTGTAATTGTTTTTAAGCCTCTTTTTGTTATAAGGATAAAATTTGTTATATCAGACAAATTTTGTAATCAACTTACTTTTTCCAAATCCTCCATAGCAGATTTTAACTTGCCTAGCTTCCTGTTTATTGCTCCACGTCTACAATAGTGAAATGCTGAGGAGTTTCCTTCCTTTTCTATTAGGAGTGTTAGTCTGCTAATTTCTGCTTCTAAATCTTCAATATTAACAGCTTCATCTTCTACCAGAAAAGGTTTAATTGAATCAACTAGTTCTATTTCTAGATTTGGCTTTGTTTCTTCTCCAGAATCTGTTTTTTTAGTTTCTATTTGTATTTTAACGCCTTTTTCTTCAGAAGGACTCCTGCTTGGAGGAAAAGTTTCATCGAACCAGCTATACCAGATTTCTTTTACCCACTCACGAACACCAGACTCTTCTGGAATTCCACCTTTACTTTCTGCAAACTTTTCAAAATCTAATAAATGAGGAAGACTGGGACTTCGATAATATCGGACCGATGGAGGTACTTTGATACAATATTTACGATGCGAATGAAGGCTTCCAAGGGATACAGATCTGAGTCAGAAAAAGATGTTAAAATTAACTAGAGGATCTTCAAGTTATACATATAACATGGTCAGGATTTGACAATCAATAACTTTTCAACTAATAACAAAATTGTTTTAATGAACAATACTTGTATATTTTTTACCTAACCATCAGTAAAATAAAATAAAATAAAAATAAATCACAAGCAAACACAAATACACTATTTTCATCTGTGGTGCAAGTCTTCCCACAGTAGTAGCATCTCTGCTCTGGAACTCCCTCCCCCTTGTGGCCCACCAGAGCCCAAGCTTGCAAGAAGCACTGCAAGACCTTTTTATTTGTGCAGACATCGAGAAAGCAAGATAGTGGGGTTACTGTTTGGGGATTTTTTGTTGTATACCTTATATATCTTATTAAATATTTTATTTGCTTTTAGAAATTATCTTGTCTTTTATTGTAAGTCACTCTCAGCCTTTTTTTGAGAGGGGCAGAATATAAATCTAATGAATAACTAACAGCATTCAGCATCTAGTTCCCCCTCCTGAAATGTTCCCAATTTAAACTAAGGACAAAGCTAGGCCTGAGAAATAGACAAGTTCAAGAGCTACATAACAACCTAGATAACTAGATTAAATACATGAATTAAAGATACTAATGGGATTCTAAGCAGGCCAACAAGAGTATGTGTCTAGGCACATCATCCAAATTGTAACATGTGAGAAATTAATCTCCAAAAGGGCATTTCCAAAACCAAGCCCATAATGAAAGCTTCTTTGTAAAGATCACAGATAGCCTCTGAGCTGGAAGCCTTAATAATGTTCAACATCAAAATCTGCTCTATGTCTGATTTAAGACCTATTTCAGACTACTCAATGACAAAGAAACATTGCAGTCTTTAGCAGCTAAGCTAATCTTTAACACAAACAATGTTATCCCTACCACCAAAGAAGGGAGTGCTAAGATGGAATGTAGAGATAATATTTTACATTTATCCAGACACTTTCATTCCAAAGAATCTTATTTTCTCAAAATAAAAGAAAACTAGACACATATAGAAACACTAAAGGACAGCCACTTCTGCATGAAGGCCATACAGCATACAACACAGAAATGGAGAACCTTAATCTTAATAAAAGTGTTATGAAAACTCTTGTCTCAAAAAGCATGTTTAAAAAGTTATTTTCAGAAAACTGTCATCATGTTCACCCAACCTAAAGGCATCATGGCAATAAGCCACACTGCTCAATTTAGACAGCTTTTTAAGCCAAGGGAAAAAAAATGTTGACATCATAAGAACCTGTGAAAAGAGAATCACCAATTAGCTAAAAGGTAAAATGGATTGAAGGATCAGGACTCAGTATCACTATATATGCAATTAGTGCATACTAAAAAACACTAGAAGGTGCATAAGCAAGTACTTCTCCCACACAAATTTAATGCAACAGTAAAGATGAATAACACTTAAGACCTAGTTTGTTATCCAATCGCTATACTAAAAAGCAGGTTTAAGCAAAAGTATTAACATGCTTTTATTGCTTCTGTGGCACTTTAATCCCCGATTACCTCCTGAGGTCACATCTCTTTTTACCTCCATCACAAATGAATAAGATAGTGATAACTAATAGATTTGAGTGATCTATGCATTCAAACAGGGTAAAAAGATGGAACTGCTTTCTTGGATGTAATCTGTGCAACTAACAGGACAAAACAGCCTAGGATTTCAGTTCCCTGTAAACACAGAATTTCTTGTTGTTCTTTCAGAGGAATGCAGTCTGATAGTTTTAGCTGTACTGTTGCAACAATTAAGCTAATCTTCTGGCATGGACACACAATATTCAACCTTCATTACCAGCTGAGTACCACTGTCCTCAAAAAAAAGTTTATCATGCCCTTTAAATAATTTCTAAATTTGAGTAATATTTGGCATTCAAAAAGTGGAAAAAATAAGTAAAAGATGACAATTGATTAAGTTATTTAAAAATATAATATATATTAATTAAAGAAAACCTTTCAAGATTCTTTGGGGGTTGATTTAATAACTGAATCACAGCTTTCAATTTTGTAGAGTCTATTATCTTCTTTGATCTCTTTGATTTCTTTCTTTTTGGAAAAACAATGTATTTAATCCCAGCCTCTCGCGCTCTCTCAGCAAGAACAATGTCATTCTCACTGTCTCCTTGTCTGGTCACAGAAGGCTGTTTTTCCACTGGAATTTCTGTCAGTACTAACTGAGGGTCATCATAGTTTTTATTCAATAGATGCTTAGTAGGGAAACTTTTCTCACTCTCAGTCTCAACCTTTAGCTCAGATATCTGTTGCTTCATAACCTTCATCTCTTTCATGCTGGTTTTGAAATTAGCTGACATCTTTAATTTTGTTTTTTCTTTGAAATCAGCCATCTCTGGTGCTGAGACTGATCTTTTAATCAAATTTATCTGTTAGGAGGAAAAAAAGCTAGTTTTATTTGATATTCATTTGAAATAAGATTTATATATTCCAACTGCATAGTCTGAATGAAATGTATTTTAATATTTTATTTGAAAACAAGGGAAAATAAACTCTTTCAGTGAGACTATGCTATGCAAAAAAAATAATTTAAAGAAAACACAACATTGTATCCAGAGTCATCAGAATATCTTTCGAAGTATGTGTGTCTGAACAATATTGAAGGCTGCCTGCTGCTGGCTCGCAGGAGAGACAGCAGGAGACAGGGAAGGGAGGAGGGCAGCAGGGCAGGAAAGGAGAAGTCTCCCTGGTGCAGAGCACAGCTCCTAGCACAGCTGTTCCTGCAGCTTAGGGCAGGAGCAGCTCTGGGACTTCCTCCTGCCTGCCACTCCATCTGGGATATCTGAGGACACACTATGCAGAAAAGCCCAGCAGCTGGAGGCCACAGGAGCAGCAATGTGCAGCCTCCTCCTTCCCTGTGGGCAGGGGAGCTGGGCAGGGAGCAGAGCTGCTGCTGCATGCTGCTGATGCTGTCCCTTCCCCACCTGGGCTCCCTACACAGCCACTTCTCCCAGCTACCAGCTGTAACACTCTATTCTAAAGTGAGGCTTTGTGGGCATGTCTATACATGCATTAATGCACCATTGCTACTTCACATGAAGTTTAGTACCTCTAATATGAGGTACCAACTAAATGTGCAGTAGCCAGTATTTTTGTGATGATTAATGTGCAGTAAACTAATTTTACTGCACATTAGTGTATTAGTATGGCTTTTACTATAATGCGCTAATACACAGTAGAATTAGTCTACTATGCATTAAGAGTCTTGTGTAGATGCACCCTGGTTTCCCCATGATGAATGAGGGAAACATCATCTTGGAATCACGTAAATATGGCAGGGTACATATAGAAACTCTTGGCATACAAACGAAAGGACAATTACAGCCTATACTGTCTGCCTAACTATCTAAAAAGTAAGGAGAAAGGAAGCACTTGTTAAACTAAACAAAACTGTAATGTGAAACCTTATAACTAATATTTTTCAGCTTAATGCTTAGTTCTGGACAATTCCTAAAAAATAATTAAATTTACATAATAAATATAAAGGACCCATGAAAGACAGAGTACATCCATTTTCAGCTTGTTTTAACAATAATTAAAAGTACTAGTCTTAGAAATGCCAACTTTCATTTTAGATAGTTTATTCCCAATGAATAATAAAATGTATTCATTCTTCATCTTGTGAAGTTCTAGACTGCTTGGAACAGCAAGATGTATGCAGGTTTTCTTTAAGAAAATAAGTATTTTTATAAGCATGCTACCATTTATTCACTACAGAAATGTTTGTATTTAATCACTTGTATGTACTGGTTTTAAAAAGCAAAGGCCCCTGCCAGATGTGCAGGTAAAGACATGATGGGATCTGATGCATTATCCACACAATTGCATTTCCTGCCATGCCACACATGGATGGCAGGAGGCGTGATTGCAGGATCAAGCATCAGATCCCATAACACCTTATTGCCAGTACAGGGGGAGCCCAGGATCACAATCCCAGACTCCTTCTGCAGCAGCAGGTAGCAAACTCAGATGGCTGAGACCCCCTCAGCTGACAGAGCTCTGTGTCATGTGGCATGGTGCTCTCTCACAGCTGGGAGCCCCCTCAGCTACAGGCTCCCAGCTTCAGGGATACATGGTGTACCCCCATGGCTGGGAGCCCTATCAGCTGTCAGGGCTCCCAGCCACAGGGACACACCTGGCCAGACATTCAATTAATGGTGTAATAGGAACCAGTCACAAAGTTATTACACATTTTTTACAGAATAACTGTGTGGCTTATTCCTTGCTTTATGACACTATTAATTGTTTTAACATGTGGCTGGCTCACAACTTAAGATGTGATTAACTGGTTAATCATGTCTTAAATATAATGTTTGGCAGGGTCTTCAGTATAAGAAAGAATGCTCAGCTAGTTTATTTCTTATTTTATTCTTTTAGCATGAATTAACAAAGTATACATAGCAAACTGGATAAAATAGGACTGCTATTCACTTGGACACAAAAGTCTAGTATTTTAAAAACCATCAATAAATAACCAAAATTGGAGATTGGTCAATTTAAATCATGTAGTACATGTCTATACATGCCTCTTCTAAACGGAGTTAGTCTAAAATCACCATTTTTAAGGAGCATTAAGGGCACGTGTCTATATGTGTGCACCCTTAATGAGCCTTAAAAATGGTGATTTAAGGCTCTGAGAGCCTAAATTTGATACCTGCATGTAAAGCAGGTATCAAATTTAGGCAGGAATAGCCAAGTTGCATTAGCCCATGTGCAGACGTGCTAATGCACATTAACATGGTGTGCATCAATGGCCATGTTTACACGTGTATTTACAGGTGCCTAAACTTAATGTACCTTTGCTTAAGGCACATTAAGGTGATTTAGGTGCACATCTACACATGGATATGCTAATACATATTAAAGCACATTAACTTTAGGCAGGAATAGCTAAGTCGCATTAGTGCACATGCAGACATGCTAATGCACATTAACGCACATTGATACACACTGCATTAATGCACATTAGCACGTCTACCCGTGCACTAAGGCAACTTAGCTATTCACACCTAAATTTGATACCTGCTTTATGCAGGTATCAAATTTAGGCTCACAAAGCCTTAAGTCAGCATTTTTAATGCACATTAAAGGCGCACATTAATGCGCCTTAAAAATGATTTTAGGCTAAGCCCGCTTAAAAGAGTCATGTGTAGATGCTCCCAATGGATACACACTGTGTGAATATGCATTAGTGCATTTGCATGTGCGCTAATGCAACTTAGCTATTCGTGCCTAAATTCAGTGTGCTTTAAAGCACATTAGCGCATCCACTTGTAGATGTGCGCCTAAATCGCTTTAATGTGCCTTAAGTAAAGGTTCATTAAGTTTAGGTGTGCATAAATACACGTGTTGACACGCCCATAATTTATTACTGCACTGAACTTTAATTGCTGGCATTACGTTTCCCACCGTCTTAGGAAAAGTCAGGTACAACTCAGTTTAAAACTTTAGTTTTCATGAGCTGTGTACAAATTTTAAATACATACATATAAATATTGCTCCTATAATGCTCTTAAAGTAAAAATTTTGACCAGGATAAAAGATTGCTAAGGAAAATATGCCAAATGTATTGTTGCCTTACACTATCTGAGAACCAAAACTATGATTTCTATACTGCTATAATCAGAGTCCTATATGATGCATGGCACTTTACAGATAGAAACCACGACAATGCTAGTGTCCAGAAATATTTAGAATCCAAGAAGCTGATCCTGAAAATCTTTACTCAAGTAACTTGTACCACTTGCTTTGGATTAACTAGATGAGTAAGGACTTCTCACATGAATGGGGATCCTATCCAATTTTTTTCTGAAGCCAGCAGGAGGCTCTCAGTATAGGGCTCCATTCTTCTGTTGTTAGATTGGAAGATTCCAGTCAATCAATCCATTTGAAAAACAACTTTAATTTGATCTCATTTTTTAAATTAAGGGAAAAACATTTCCTTCCTAAAGTTAATTTTAAACATTACTTATACAATGTTGTGCTATAAGTCTTTTTTATTTTACTGAAGACAGAAACAACCAAGCATCAAACAGATAAGATTGGTCTATAAAAACTAACAAAATCTAGCAAAAGTTAGTTATAGTACCTTTGACTCCTCAGTGCTAAAAAAATCTGGCAAGGAATGGCATCTTCTTACAATGGTTTTTGTCTATAATTAAAACAAAATGCAAGTGAGTTTGTCATAGTTCACATTTACTAAAAATGGAGCCTTCACATTTACCCTATTCTTGATAACATAGTTTTCAATAAGAACAACACTTGTTTATGACAGATTCACTGTGTTAGTACTAGTATTAAGATGTGGATTTAAGCAACAGCTGCATTAGTGAAACTAAAACTATAAATGCAAACAAGAAAATGTAAGCAGTCATGCTGCAGATATTTTATATTATCAATATGGAGTTTCACATAGTTCCATTTATTTGTATGTCTATACAGTACTGCATTGTACTATGTGGAGATGCACAATACATTTTCCTAGGTACTGGAGGTAATACAGCCATGTTAGTATAGCACTCCATCTGGTTTAAGCAGCCCTGCTAATGTTGCTATCCTGTTTCTGTTACCTGAGCTAGCTTCTTTTGACCTAGCTTGAGTATCTTTGCAGGCACTACATTGTGCCATGTAGCTTTTTCCTATGTCGTAAAAATGCATAGCAGATAGATAGATAGATATAAAATGATGCAAATAAGGATACATCAGAACATATCCGATCCATCTTAAACCTTGAAAGTTCAAAACATTAGATTTTTAAAAAAATATCTCCAACTTTTCATTCTACCTTCATACTGCTTCCATTGCTGTCAATGAAATGTCCAAGATTCTAGAAAGTATCCTCTTCATTTCCAGCAGATGCCAAAATTCAATACAGGAAACCCTCAGTATTCGTGGGTTCAGCATTCACAGTTTCAAATATTCGCAAATGCTGAACCTGCATTTTAAATACACTTTAAACACTTACTGGAGCTCCTTGGGAGTTCTGCATTTGCTGCTGCCTGGCTCTCCTCCCCTCCCCACCCAAAGTTGCCAAATTTCACCATTCCTGGGGATCACAGGAACATATCCCTCACAAACGCAAGGGTCACCTATATATACCCTATCTTCATATAATTCAGAGCTATGCTACTGGGAGCCCACAGGGTGCATGCAGCCCCTAAAGGGTTAACATGCTCTGTCCCCAGTCTCCCACCCAGGTGTTATTGCTCCTATCACTCCAGCTGCAGCACTCGTGCTTAGTGGAACAGGGCCAAACTGTACCCACCTACACATGGTACAAATGGTGGGGATGCACCCACACACATGGAATGAAGTTTGTGGAGCCCATACTTGCAACTAGTATGACCTCTATGGTGTATGCCCCTGCTGGTGCAGCCCATGGGCATATGACTGCCAGCCACTGACAAGTTGGATAGCCCCCACCTAATTAATAATCTTATGCAAAACCTTAATAGCAACCTTGTGTTGTTATAGCAAGAGTAATAATAAAAATGATTAATATGCCATCAATTAATTTGGAAAGTTATTCTATTCTATTTTAATTGTGCCACTAAGGCTTTGATCTGGGCATGAAGCTGGATGAAGCTGAAGTATATACTGTTTTTTCGTATGTGCATACCAATGAAACATTCTTCCTAATGCAATTGTCTCAACAAAAGTTTTTATGCCTCTTGAGCTCCTGGTTAGACAAGAATATACATGGAGGTCATCTAAAGCTTGTCCTCAAGGTCACATTCTAATACATCCTATTTTTTTAGTGATGAGATGCATTAAGATGTTGTTAACTATGGCTTTGCACTGAATGATATAGAAAGGAGCAAGGCATATTTAATAGTGTCCCAGACACAGGAAAAAGACAAAGATGCAAAGGATGAGGTTTACTTATGCTGCAACTCTACTATCTTGAGAATTTTATCAGTTGTCCCAGATAACCCTGACAGTAACTCAAAGTGCAGGTCATAATTCCCTCCTGAATTGTTTTCACCTCATAGAGTTACTGGGAGCATCTACACATGCTCCCGACTGCACAGTTGTTACTGCAGTCATTTAGTACTTGCTTAAGCAGCCGTTACTGTGCAGTCACAGTGCCGCACGAGTCATTTCCAATGCCACCCTTCTTGCACATAAATGTGAATCCAGGTGGCCCACCACCAACAAAGCTGACCTTATCTGAACAATAACTCCTGGATGGGTTCTAGCATCAGGTACTGAAACTCTCAGAAGAGGGTATCCATTAGGCCACACTCTCCAGTGGTTCCAAGTCTCTGTGTTGGTGGGGGAAGACCAACCTATCCCTCCCTGTTCCGCAGGAGTCACATACTAGTCCCTCAGCATCTCTGGGATAGAAGAAAAGAGTGGAGATGCACTCACCCTCACTCAGATTTCTGTTTCCACAAAATCCTGTCCAAATAAAATCAACAAAGTTCTGTCCAAATATAAACTGAAGTACAGCTCATTGTCTCTGAGGTCAATATTCAGTCAAAATTAGGATCCAAAGATTAGTTAATCAACATAGCTTCTTTCCAGCCTCTGAGAAGAGGGATCCTTTTTTCCTGCAAATTTCAAAGCCTTCTGCCTTTGATGTTACATTTTCAGCTTGATGGTTAAACCTATAGTTCCAGTAGAGTTTATCAACAACAGCTGATGTGATGTTAAACACAGGGTAACAGATCTGCACAAAGCCAAGCTTAACACCATGTTAGTTAATGTGACTCAAAGTTATACTAGCTAATGACAGCAAGCCATTTCAGTTCCTTTTTTTCCCAAAACAACTTATTAGCATTTCTGTCTATCTATCTATATATAAATGTTTGTTTTCTTCCACAAGTCTTGGGGAATAATTGAATTTATGGTAATCAGCTATTCTAAAAGATAAAACTCCCTGAATCAAGGAAATCTGAGGCCATAAAAAGTGAGATAGAGTATTTTCTGTCCATTCTCAAAGAGATAACAAATTTAAATACTGTATTACAAGTACATTTAATGCAAGTGCCAACAAAAGTTAATTGAGACCTCGATACTTTTAAGTATAACAGCTCTATCCAACAACTCAGGATTTTTTAGTGATCCCTTAACCCTTGGAAAAGAAGACATGGGAAACAATATACTTCACCATATAACTGTCAATGTCACTATCCTCCTCAGACTTTAATTCGTCTTCCTCTGGATGGTCAGAAGAAAAGTCTTCTATTATAACACCCTCAATAACATTGCTCTGTAATAGCAATAAATTTAAAATGCATTAAGTTGTACATCCTTGCCATGTCTGCTGCAGCAAATACAGTAAAATACCAATGACTAAACACATACTATAGTTAATCTAGTTTTTATAGAACTACTACTTAATCTCAAATTTATACTACATTCTTGATAGACAGCATATACCAGATTCCTACTGTATTCAAAATCTGTTTAGTGCAACTGAGAACAAAGCTGTCAGCCAACTGGTTACAGCTCCTTGATTTTCCAAAATACCTCCTCTGTTTGGCCCCAGCAACTTATGCCAGCTGGCAATGGCCCCCAAAGCACCATATGCCAGTTAAGAATAAACAGTCAGAGCACTACTCACTCTGGTCAAACTCTTCACACTGAGGCTAAGAAGAACCAGCACAGAAACTCAGCATGTCAGATCTATTCTGTATGTGAACTCCCTTGTGCAAAACAAATTGTCCTCCTTTCTATTCAATCTCTGGCACTGAAGCACTGACTGAGGACTGGTGGCTTCTCTACAGCTATTAGGGTAAACATTTTAGAGTTCTATCTGAGTGCCACTCTATTTGAATGCCAGCAGCATTGAGTGGGCATCCCTGTTTCTATAAGAGTCATCTTTTCTGTGCGTTGTTACTGTACCAGGCAGGGGAAAACATCCTAGGGTTGCCATGCTCTCCCCTAGCACCCCCTACCATGCCAAGTTTGCGTTAATGCGCCCTCGTTCTCGCCCACCACGTCTTGATCTTATGAAAGTTAAAGGGAGGTTGCTCTCGTCCTCCTGGTCACGGATCCTGCTACCCCAATCCTTGTTTATACAACCGGGTTCCGAACACCACAGCCTTATGGGCTATGCATGGCTCCAACCACCCCTGTACCACACCCCAAGCCTCACAGATGTACCAGACGTTGTTTGGTCTATCTCACTCTCTGCGCCCTCTCTGGCGCTCAGGCTCTCCGCACCCCTTGTCTCAGAGCCACGCCCCGCAGGCACTCTGGCCTTCCACAGCCTTGTCTTGCAATCATGCCCCACAGGTGCTACGGCTTCCACAGCCTTGTCTCACAACCGCGCCCCACAGGTGCTCTGGCTTTCTGCAGCCCCCTTTCCGGGGCTTCTCTAGGGTCTCCATGTGGCCATGGCTCCTTTATGAGGCCTCCTCCATCCCCTTATAGCCTCACCTGGACCCCCAGTTGTAAACCATCAACACAAACTCAAGCCGCTTGGCTATAACATAAACCTAAGCCATCTGGCCATAATCACCTTCAAGTCTGTCACCGGGTTTCTCCATCTCTCACCCAAACAACTGCCTGTGCATTCTAGCCTCTTCCTTTTTCTCACTCCGGCGGAGCTCCTACCCCTATGGATGCTGGCAGGCAACTGCCTGCCTGGCTTCAGCCTGGGAGTTATATGGGAGCCAGGCCCTGCCCCTTCCGGTCAGCTGACTCCCACTGGTTACCCAGGCAACCCGCAGCTGGGCTCCTCACTTACTGCTCCACAAGTAGCAGGCACCTCAGTGCCCTGCTACAGTTACCATACAGCTGCAGTTCTCAACCAGGATGCCACAACACCATGGGGTGCTCCAAGGTTCTTTTTACAGGTGCTGCAGGGTGCCACTCATGTTAGTACTGTTATGTGTACAAACATGATTCACAAAATATACCCATAAATTTCAAAGAGGAATCCTTAGTGTCAAAACATTCTGACCTGTTGTGGTCCAAGTTCTTTGCAACAAGAAAAATGCTCTATTATTTTTCTGTAGTCAAAAAACAAGTGAAAACTAAGAGCCAATATCTTTTGAGGTCTGCCTTGAATCTATCAAGGGATGTCTCAAGCTTTTAAAGACTGAGAACTTCTTTAAATATTTTATTATAAAACAACATTAACATCAAAACTAGAGGTGCATGGATACATCGGTCTGATATTGAATCGGCACCAATGTAAAGAAAATTGACTATATCGGAAATCGGCTTTCTTTGCCCTACATGACCAATAAATGTCCCATGCATGCCCGCAGCCACAGCGCAGCACATAGGCAACAAGGATTGCAGCCCAGCAGCTTGGAGCACTGCGTCCAGCTAGTAAATCTGTTGTGGTGGAAAGGGAAGGCAGAGGGAAGGGAACGGACGGGACATCGGGGGGGTGCAGATTGAGGCCCCCGCCATGAGGTAGGGAGTGGGGTTGAGACAGGCGTTGCTCAGCCAGGGAGGGGCATGGGACAGATCCACTAGCAGCTCGCCCAGGAGGTAGGAAGGAGGGGGAGGCGGCTCCCACCTCCTCCGCACAGCCAAGGAGGGCACGGGGGGCACGTGCCCCTGGATCTGCACAAGGCGGGGCAGGCTGCAATTGCAGGCTGGGGCCGGGGCTGCACTGGGATCTTCCTAGCAGGGGCTGAGTTGGGCTGGGCTGCACTTGGGGCAGGTGGAAGCAGCAGTGCTGGGAGGCGAGGTTAAAGGGCTATGGTGAATACTGGGGTGGCTGCAGCCCCACCCCATAGTCGCCACCACCACCCACCCTGAGCACATCCCTGGCCCAGCCCACAGCGACAACTCACCCCACCCTGAGAAGATCTGGGGACACATGCCCCCTGTGCCCTCCTGGGGTACACACAGTAGTCGGAGCCACCCCCACCTCCCCACACCCCACCCCAGATGAGCCACGGCTCCATCCTGCACCCCATCCCACCCTGGCTAGCCAATGCCTGCCCCAGCTCCTCCTCACCACAGGGGCCTCAATCCGCCCCCCTCGCCCCTTCCCTTTCCCTGCTCTTCAAGGGATGCATATCAGAAATTGGATCAGATCTTTATCAGCCGATATGCCTCCTTAAAAATCAGCTATTGGTATCGGCCAAAAAAATCTCTATCGGTGCACCCCTAATTAAAACAGCATAGTGATGCTGTCTTTAAATTATTTTCACTGTCTACAATGATTTTTTTATCATGTTTTAATGAGGACAGGTGACAGCGTACCGGAGACAAAAGTAAAGCAGCTGTAGAATTGTTTTAAAAGAGAGAATGCAAGTTTTAAAATAGCATACTTGAGTACACAAAAAGTAGGTGAAAAATGTAAGAATTAATACAATCAACTTAAGTAATATATTACAAAAGCGCAAAAACCCCTAAAAATCTAATTAGTACTAGGATCATTATAATGAAAACTGAAGTTAAACCAAAGACTTTTAAGTAATATATTGTATACATGGTCATATAATCATAACTGATTTACATTGCTAAATATAGACAACACTAATACAGAAATCTTGGTAAACAGTAGTACAAATAATATCAACTACTATAGTTACCAAAAGTTGTGTTAGAGCAGTGGGGAATCAACCTTTTTAACAGGTGTGCCACAAATCAGCTCTACACCTTCCAAGTGCTACTCTAATCTCCTTCCCCTGCCCAATCTGCTGCTCTGGTTTCTGCTTCCTACCCCGTGCTCCCTGCCTGATCTGCTGCTCTGGTTTCTATTCCCTCCCCACTCTGCTGCATGCCAAATACAAAAGCTACCCAGACCACTTGTGGCTTCCATGCCACTGGCTGGCTACACCTGTGTTAAGAGAAAGAGATATAAGCATCTAGAAATGGTAACAATATTGAGAATACATTAAAAATTATTTACCTTATACTTGGGAAACAACATTTGCTTCATGAAAGAGATGGGAGCAGAAAATTTTGGTGGAGCTGGAGCCCAAAATGTTTTAAGAGTCTCTGGGTAAAAGGAAACCTTTAAAACCAATAAAATTAAGTTACGTATTAAAAACCAAACTAAATGTTAAATATCCTTATATTATTATAATTTGAATATAACTGGTCCATGATAAAATGCCCTTATATATTTAATAGGCTTTACAGGACAGCTGCATCCAGTATGATATCAAGAAATGAGACACACTTCACAACATAAATAAAGTACACTGGAGAGTTATTCTTTATTGTTTGTTTGATTTTAATTTGTTGCTAATTGCCAGTCCTGAGCCTAATTCAAGTGCCTACCATGCAAAAAGTGGCTATTTTTATACTTAACAAGTGAAGGACTTACAAGTTTCTAACCCAATCATTAGAACATTTTAGTAATAGTTTGACTACCAGAAATAAATGTAAAAAACCCCGAAAAATTATGGCCCCAAGTGTAAGGCACCCAAACTACTTTCACAATACATAGGTGCCTCAAAAAGGGAACCACAAATGCCGAATTGTTGCAGAAGAAGTCATCTAAGCCCACCAATAAGAAACACTAAGGATCAGGGAGTGTCTTAAATCTCACCTGGTCCAGGACTTAGGCACTAAGTACTAGATAACTGAACTCTCTATTTAAGATAGACAGCTAAGACACTGCTTTCAAGATACAGCTGAAGGAGGTGGTGATAGTCATTGTTTATAAAATACATAAAACACATGATTTGAAGCATGCGGCAACCTTTAATGATTCAGGCCTAAGAAAGAAACTCCTCTAGGTGCAGGTTGATCCCAAACTGCCTATTGCAGGGATTGTTTCCCTTTCTATGAAGCAGTCAATAACCCTATTTTTGACAGGATTCTGGACTAAATGGACCACTGGTCCTATCCAATGTGGTAATTCATATATTCCCATACAATAACATTTCAAATAAAGAAGCAGCAGTAAGGATTGTATCACTGCACATAAAAACCTCTATTCTACTTTTGATATTACCATATCCACCTGAATCCAAAATGATTTTGAATTCAAGATAACCCTCCCACAATATTAGATTCTATACATGGAAAATTATAAATTTGTTATACTCTTCCATGTATAGGATCTAATTAGTGGAAAATCATCTTAAATTCATCCCCCAAACTGCTGTAGTGGGGAAAGCAGCAACACAGGGCAAGGGGACAAACCCCCAGCCCTTTCCTTCCCTGCTTACCCCCTATTGACTTTTATCCCCCACCAGTGCCTGTGTCTGCCCCGTCCCCCTTGCCACCTGACCCCGCTTGCCACTTCTCCCCACCACATTGCCCCCACACCTTCTGTCCCCCAGGCCTGTGCCTTCCCTCCTTCCACCTGCCATCCCTGCTGTTTTCCCCCTGCCATATGTCCCGTGCCACCTGCCCCCTATCCCTTATTCCCTCCCTGTGCCTATCCCCCTGTTCCCCTTTGTCTCCTGTCACCCTGCCCTTTTGTCCTATCCCACAGCTGGGCCTAACCCCTGCCACTTGCACACTCTGCCCTTCCCTGTCTCTTACCTTCTGCTGCTTTGATCTGCTTTGGCTCTGACTCCAGCTTCAGGGCTGTCAGCAGCAGCGACCCTGGCCTGGTCTAGTCCCACTCTGCCCCAGCCCCACCCTGCCCAGACAGACAGAAGCAATAGCAGCCCTAAGCCTGCTTGGGTCAGAGCTGGAGGGGCCAGATTCAGGGCAGAAGGAGGTAGAAAAGGCAATGCAGTCTCCCCTCTGCTCCCTGCCAGGCCACACAGGCAGATCTCCCCTGTGTGCCCTCTCTCCCTCATAGTGAAGTCTCAGCTGGCCACATGCCAAGTGGCAGCTCAGCTCCAAGCTCAGGGCCAAAGCCACAGTTAAACTACTGCCTTCCCCAAGCTGGTATTTGAATCTATGAGAAGGCTTTTTCCCCCCCATGCTGTTTGGGGGGAAAAACCTCACCTTGGATTTAAGTAAATAAAAAATTTGGGAGATGAAAATTTACAGGAATTAATTATAAGGATCAGAAGACTTCCCCTACATTTTTTTTCATGCATGTCACATGCAAACAAAATGATTTAGTGATTTTATTTCAGGCTTTATGTAATTACTCGCAGGACTGTGGAAATACAATGCATATTTTATGAGAATCAGTTCTTACTTTTTCTCCTAAGAGTTCAAGTCTTGGCTTTTCTACATAATACTCAGCTTTTTTCTGCCATTCAGTTAGACTTTTTGATGTGTGTGGAGGTAAGACATGAATCCCACCTTCCTGATTTTCCTGGAACAGTTCTGAAACAGGAATACCTTCATAACAAATTCTGCCGTAAAACAAAAAAATTAGTAAGCTTCTCTGATGTCAGATATTTAAAATAAATTAAGGAAAACCATTTAAATACAAATGAATTCAGATATTTTTTCCTTAGGATTAAGCCAAAAGTAAAAATACATAATGTGCTACACTTACTAAAATTATTTTCCTAGAGAGCACAAGTCGTTTGTTTACTATTACTATTTATTATACTATAAGCATAATTTGTCTGACATTAATAAAAACTTTTCTAGAAGGATAGTTGCCTATTCTCTAAGAGCATAAAGCATGAAGCCTCAGTGTCAAAGCCTCTAGATCAGTGACTCTTAACCAGGGTGCCACCAGATCCTTTGAAGGGTACCATGAGCTGTGAGGAGATAAGCAGATAAACACAGGCTCAGGCCTGTCTCTGCTGTTCTGGTCTCCACCCCCATTGCTTGACCCCTCTGCAAGGCGATAAAATCCTGTAATATATAAATTAATTGTGTATGCTACACATTCACAGAAATTATGGAGGGGGTGCCAAAAATCCAATTAGGTGGCAAAGCATTGCTCTAGAAGCTGTATTCAGCTGAGGGTTGTCTGATCAGTAGGGATCCAGGTTTATTGTTTGTTGCGGAAAAATGTGGATTTTCTCCTTTAAAGAAGAAAATCACAGAAATTCTCTTTGAAGAAGAAACACTCAGGAAACTGTGGGTTTCCACTTGCAGAGTGGCATAGTTTCATCCTGCAAGGGGCTGCTTGGGGCTGGCAAGAGCAGGATGCTGTGGTGCCACACACATGGCAGCCAGGCAGTGTGGCGAAGAGCAGCTCCCACTGTTCCCTCCAGGTAAGTCTGTGGGGGTGAGGAGCACAGGCAATGCAGCGGGGGGGCACAGGCAAGACAGTGTATGGGGGGCATGTGCCTCACAGATCTCTGCACCCACAGTGGGGTGCATAGTTTCAGCCATGCTTAACCAGCTCCAAGCAAGAGCCTCCCTCCGTGCCACGGACCAGCGGGAGGGACCTGGCACAGGAAGGAACATTGTACCACCATGGCTGCCAAGGTGAGGCATCCCCTGCATGCCCAGCAGCAGCAGGGGCACAACTCCACACCACCACCACTGTTGCACTTCAACTTGACAGGCATGGCAGTGCAGCACTCCCTGCTGCACAGGGTCCTGCCTGCTGGGCCACAGAGGCAGCTCCTGCCTGGATTTGATCTGGCCCAGCTGCAGCCCCACACCCCGCTGTGGGCACAGAAATTTTTGGAGGCATGTGCCCCCCTGCCCCCTCCACATCACCTGTGCCTATACCCTTCATTCCCCACACACACACACCCCTACACTGGTAGCCTTCCATATTGTTTTAAAATTGTAAATCTATCAATAAAACATTGTGTTCAACTGATACCTATATATGTGGTGTTTCATTTTAATCTTGGAAAAACATGGAATTGGGGGTTTAATAAGAGAATTTGGGGGTTTTTTAAGAGAGAAAACCAGGATCCCTGCTGATCAGACCCATTGGATATAGCTACACTGTCTCAGCGCTCTCATGAAACATGGCTCTTGAGTAAATCTTGCCCACCTGCTCCTACTCATGCACATGAGACAGTGAAGCACTACCAAGGATGTCTCTCCACTTCCTGTCACCCCCTACTCTCTACTTCCAATGTGACTGACAATAGTGGTGGGGGCACCCCCACCCTCACCCAAACAGCTTTGCTGCCTCATTTCCAGGTTTTGGATTACATAGTGCATTAATTAATCCTTTATTTCATGCCCTTTATTACAACTATGAAAAAATAAACTTACTGAATAAAATGGAACTGGTGAAACATCTAGTGCACTTACAAAAGAATAAGAAGGAACACGCATAACTTAATACATCCATGTACATGTATATCTATCTATAAAAGTTCGTTACATTTGACTCTTGATTTTTTAACTTCATCAACACATGCTGATACTGACATCTGCTGGTGTTAAATAGCTTTATTTTGGGGGGATAAAAACTAAGGTAATGAAGTGTCTTTTGTATTTTGAGAATTAAAGTTCTGTTTTTTCATCTCATATTTCCCTGTAATTTTTCTGATCTTCACAGTACAATAAAGGACCTGATTCTCATTCATAATCAATGTAAATTCCATTTTAAGAACTGTTTACATTACAAGAGTGGTATGTAAAGGGACCTTAGCTGCTATATGAACTAATTGGATTTTGGGTCCTACAAACAATGTTTTAGGCACTAATAACAGTGACATAACAAGAATCTTTTTCCAGCTGGGGGAAAAAAGGGAAAATCAGCACTCCCGCAAAAATACGGGAATTCCCCTTGAAATAAATCTTATTAACCATACTACACTTATGAACTTTGCTTATGTACAAATGTAACTATTCCCTACATTTCAGCTTATCTTTACTGCTAAAATAGTTCTCTCATGGCAACTTAATGAATTATCACGAAGTAAAAACAGATTAAAGACAAGGAACTTTAGTTCTACTGTACTGTGAAATAAACTTACCATGGTCAGACCCAAGCAGGGATATGGCTGACCTTGACACCCTTATTTCATGGTAAACTGAAGTGCCTTCTCTCCAGTAAGGATTTCACACGCATTAGTTAACAAATGTGACTTTTATTAAAGCAACGAAGACACGTTCTTCAGCAAATTTGAAGCTTGATGCACTACAAATTCCACAAACCGGTACAAATTTGTTTGGTCTTTGTTACAGGCAAACAGAAGACAGCCCAAGTACTCCAAACTAATATTGCACACATAAAGAGAACACATCTATTGCTACTGTAACAACAGGCAATGTAATTTGAATTTGACTATATTCTGCACAAAAAAGTTCTATCCTCTGCACTAGGTTCTCTCTAGTTTGATTATTTGTACGGTTAGAGTTTACCAAATGCAGGGGCTAGTCATGCCTCAGTACCTCCATGGGGAGAACTGTCAAAAGAAGTCTGCACTAATGTCTCACAAATTATACCTATGACCTTGCAGATTCACGTAGTTTGTAAATCTGAAAAGATTAAAAGTTTTTAGGAAGAAGGTAGTGCCACAAGATGGCAGTGCTCCAGAGAATTCAATGTTATTGGTTTCCGCAGATGAAGACCCCAATTCGGTAAGGTGTTTAAACATGTGCCTAACTTCAAACTTTAAAGCCTCATTAATTATAAAGGGCTATCATGACCAGAGAGCTCTGCATAACCTCTCCCAACGAAATCAGACCAAGATCAGGGACTAAGAGCCTCAAAAGCCACTCTATCACAGCCTGGGGAAACTTCACTGCAGGGAGTGGCCAGTAACAAAAGACACTTTCCACTAATTCCAACTCACCAATGGGACCAAGAACAGTTCATTAGGCCTCTCTAAGTCTGGGGAGGAATAGGCTGTGCGAAGCTTCTAGTGCTGATTTGATTCAGAGGAGATTCAGCCCAAGATTGGTTTAAAGCTCTACGTAGTCCCCTCCCCGATGGTGTAATAACATCGGTGAGTTGGGAGTCCAGGAAGGGTGGGAGTTCTTCTAGAGACTGATCCTGCAGGCACAGGGGGGCACTATCCCAGTACACATAAAGAGAGGAAAAAGAGCCAAGAAACCCTCTTAGCTGAGCACGGAAATCCAGGAGAGCCTACAGGGGAAGAGAGACGCTTACAGGCAGCCACCAAGGAGGAGTATATCTGCTTGGCTCATGCTTGCAGGGAAGCAGTGTAGAAGGCCAAAGCAGAAACGAAACTCAGGCTGGCAACAAAGATTAAGGGTAACAAGAAGTCCTTCTTTAAGTATATAAGGAGCAAGAAGAAGGTGCAGGGTAACATAGGGCCACTACAGGATGGACTACAGCAACTCATAACAAACAGGATGGACAAAGCTGAGCTCTTAAACGATTTCTTTGTATCAGTGTTCCTGGACACAGATATAAACACACCTCCCAATGAGACTTTAGTCTGGCATGAGAGAAATATCAGTCCACTAATGGTTAGTGCTGACCTAGTGAAGAAGCACTTGGAGGGGTTGGACGTATTTAAGTTGGTGGGCCCCAATGATCTTCACCCAAGGGTACTAAAGGAATTGGCCAGTGTCATAGCAAAACCACTGGCACAACTGGTTGAGTGTTCTTGGCACTCAGGACAGGTCCCAGAGAACTGGAAAAGGGCCAATGTGGTCCCTATTTTCAAGAAGGGGAGGAAGGAGGATGCAGGTAATTATAGGCTGGTTAGCCTCACCTCTATTCTTGGCAAGACCTTAGAAAAAATCATAAAGGATCACATTTGAGGGGGACCAGTAGGTAACACAATGCTAAGGGGCAACCAGCATGGGTTTATAGCAGGCAGATCCTGCCTGATTACCCTGATCTCTTTTTATCACCAGGTCACAAAGTGCTTAGATGCAGGAGTAGAGGTAGATGTTATTTACTTGGATTTTAAAAAGGTTTTCAACACAGTGTCACACCCAATTCTTACAAATAAACTATTTAGCTGTGACATGGATTTTTTCACAGTCAGATGGGTGGCAAACTGGCCTATGAGACGCAACGAGAGAGTGGTGGTGGATGGGTTGGTTTCTACCTGCAGAGATGTGGGCAGTGGCGTCCCCCGAGGCTCTGTCCCTGAACCAGTACTGTTCAATATCTTCGGTGATTTGGGTGAGGATGTAGAAAGCACTCTGTCCAAACTATGGGGTACAGGAAACACACTAGAGAGTAGTGATGGAATTCAGGTGGATTTGTATAAACTGGGGAAGTGGGCAGATCAGAATAGAATGCAATTTAATAAAGATAAGTGCAAAGTGCTGCACCTGGGGAGAAAGAATCACCAAGACACCTATAGACTGGGAAGTACCATTCTGAGTACCACAGCAGTGGAAAGGGGTCTCGGAGTCATAGTCGACGCAAAAATGAACATGAGTTGTCAATGTCATGAGGTAATAAGTTAGGGTAACCACACTCTTTCTTGCATTAGTAGGTGCATCATGAGCAGGTCTTGCAAGGTTATACTTCCCCTCTATGCAGCATGGGTGA